TTGACAATAGTTCCGTCATCTTGACAAAATTGTGTGAGCAACAAAAACATACATTAGAAACACAAATCACAAATATAACACACAACTGGCTAGACAATTTAGACAAAAATACAAATAAAAATAAAGACGCCAACAAAAAATGTTGATATTGTTTATAGGAAATTTGATAAAGACGCTAACAAAAAAGTTTTTTTTGCAGTTGTAGTTTATTGACAAAGACCCTGATAAAAACAATTTAAGTTGATAGTTCATACCGTATGGTTTATACTTTATCGATAAAGTAATATTAAGTAAATTATAAATACAAGGGTAAACAAAATGGAAACAACACTGTAAAAACATCTTGCGTCCGAACTAAGTAAATGGTAGATGAATGATCATCGGAACATACCATCTTCTATATGGTCAAAAGATCAACAGTCATGACCTTGACTTTGATCATAATTTTAATTTACACAAAAACTATACCATGAGTGGTTGCTGATTGCTTAACGACCATAGAATGGCAATTATTTCATGTAAATTCAGGACGAGAACAAATTAACAATTAATAATAGAATATTTTATAAATAGTACAGATCCCTTCCTAAAAGCAAATATGTTCTTTCCTGTTGTTAAGATTTATTAAATGATAATATTATATAGGATGAGGCCATTTCCGCCTTTTGCCATTTTAAAATGTGCACATATCCTTAAAGAGGTGTGATCCGTAATCAATGTATCTTATTTTTCATGTCAAGATTAATGGAGTTTTTGTTACTTGTCAAATGTCCAATGGCGAACATTACATGAACGTTTAACAAGATTACAAATTAATCCTTTATACATAACATAACTATAATAACAAAAATACCAAACTCAAAACGGAAAGTTCTCAATCAAATGGCAAAAAAAAAAAACGGTTAAAGACATCAAACGAATGGAAAATAACTGTCATATTCCTGACTTGGTATAGGCAATTTCTTATGTAGAAAATGGTGAATGAACCTGGTTTTATAGCTAGCTAAACCTCTCACTTGTATGACAGTCGCAATTTGTGAACAAGACAAACTGACATAATATGTCAAAATGTCAAAAATTGGGGTACAGCCGTCAACATTGTGTTATAATCTTAATCACTATGAGAACAAATAATTGTTTCAACAAAGAAAAACAAAATGGCACAAAGTAGGTTTTGCATGATGAGACAACCGGGAATGATTTCTAGAAATGTTGACTGTTACTGGAAAATGGTATTTTTGATAGGGGCATAGAAAAGAGAAGCGAAAGATACCAAAGGACATTTAAACTCATAAGTCGAAAATAAATTGATTGATTGACTGACTGTTGGTGGTTTAACGTCCAGTGGCAAATATTTTATGCATATTCAGGTCAAGACCAAATTAACAGTAAATACAATAGGTAGGTTCTGTAATAGAAACGTCAAGGATTAAGGTCGGGGAAATTTAGACTGCCACGGGAAATGAAGGGTATATTGGATAGGGACAGAAATTTAGCCTTGCAACACCTCACCTTCGGACCCCTCAAAGAGTTGTTGCAAGAGTTCTTTACGTGCAAAGAGCGTGGCAACCCGTTGTGTTGCTCCTTTTAGTACAAACCCGGTAATAAGTCTAATTCGGTATGTCACATTCGGAAAAAAGGATTTGGATTGTAGTTACGACATTAGGAAAATATCTGCTATCATCCGTGAAACGAATATTCCACAACTGTCAACCAACTCGTGATGGCGTCCGTAAAATTTATGAAGGGATGATTTTAACTTCACCACTTGGAACTCTTTGTTTAATAGCTTTCTTGTGAGCAGCAACTTCATATCATGGAAATTATGATAGGAAATACAAGCCCTGGAATATCGTATCAATTTGGAGATTTACTCCGTATGCAGTCGCTGGTGGAATTTTGCTAAATTGAAATGGAAAGTTTACAATTGGGAATCTGAAATCATCTCTGTTTTTGTAAAGTTTTGTTTTCAAACGACCCTTATTGTCAATTTCTAGATGTAAGTCCAGATATAAGGCAGACTTAACTGTAGCTGTTGTATCCTTTATCTGACGATTTATTTCTCGATTTTTAACTTTGTTGAAGTACTCATATAAGAGAATTTGAATATATTAGTCTTACATATATGACATATTCGCGATGATTTAATTGGCATTATGCTTCTACTAGTATTGCTATTTGTTTCTTTATTCATTGTTACGGTTATGTCAGGTAAGTATTGCTTAATGTCTCTCAATGCATTGCTACATTTGAATGTCAGGTTGTGAATGCTTTCCATGTCTGTTAATACATTGTTACTGCTGTGTTTGGTAACTTGTTTTTTTATCATTAAATTCAAGTTGTTACTGCAATGTCAGATCAGCTTTGCTTTTCTTATCAATTCATTGTTATTGTTATGTCAGGTTAGTATTGCCTTATGTCTCTCAATGCATTGCTACATTTGTATGTCAGGTTGGTAATGCTTTTCATGTCTGTTACTGCTGTGTTTGGTAACTATTGGTTTTTTTTTATCATAACATTCAAGTTGTTACTGCTATGTCAGATTACTTTTGCTTCTTTTATCAATTCATTGTTACTGCTAAGACAGGTAACCCTTTTGGAGCACCTGAGATCACTCCCAGTTTTTGTTTGGGTTCGTGTTGCTCAGTCGTTCGTTTTCTATGTTGTGTTTTGTGTACTTTCGTTTGTCTGTTGGTATTTTTCTTTTTTAGCCATGGCGTTGTCAGTTTGTTTTCGACTTATAAGTTTGAATGCCCCTCTAGTATCTTTCGCCTCTCTTTTAGTATTGCTTTTTTTATCAATTCATTGTTACTGCTGTGCTAAGGTAGTAGCTTTTGTTATCAATACATTGTTACTGCTAAGTCAGGTTAGTTTGGTAACTATTGTTTTGTTTATCATTACATTCAAGTTGTTACTGTAATGTCAGATTAGCTTTGCTTTTTTATCAATTCATTGTTACTGTTATGTCAGGTTAGTATTGCTTTATGTCTCTCAATACATTGCTACATTTTTATGTCAGGTTGGTAATGCTTTCAATGTCTGTTAATACATTGTTACTGCTGTGTTTGGTAACTATTGCTTTTCTTATCAATACATTTTTACTGCTGTGTCAGGGTAGAAGCTTTTTTATCAATACATTGTTACTACTATGTCAGGTTAGTATTGCTTTTTTATCAATGCATTGCTACTACAATGTCAGTTCCGTATTGCTTTTTATCAATACATTGTTACTGCTGTGTCTGGTTACAACTGGTTTATGTTTATCAATACATTGTTACTGCTTTGTTATGTAAGTACTGCTTTTAGACCCTAGCTACATTGATTCTGCTGTATGAGTTAATTATTTCTTTTTGTTTCTCAGTACTTTGTAACTGCTGTTAGGTAAGTGTTGCTTTGTGTATCTCAATTCATTGTTACTACTGTGTCAGGTAGGTATTGCTTTGTGCCTCTCAATATATTGTGACAGCTGTGTTAGGTTAGTATTGCTTTGTGTTTTAATATTATTTTTTTGCTATGTCTGGTCAGTATTGCTCCGTCTCTCAATATTGTGTTACCGCTGTGTTAGGTAAGTATTGCCTTGTATCTCTCTATATATTGTTACTACTGTGTCAGGTCAGTTTTGCTTTGCGTCTCTCTTTGTATTGTTACTACTGTGTTAGGTCAGTATTGCTTTTAGTCTCCAAATATATTGTTACTACTGTGTCAGGTCAGTATTGCGTTGTGTCTCTTTATATATTGTGACTACTGTGTCAGGTCAGTACTACTTTCTGTCTCCAAATATATTGTTACTACTGTGTCAGGTCGGTACGGCTTTGTGTCTCTCAATATTTTGTTACCGCCGTGTCCGTTCAGAATTGCTTCGTGTCTCTCACCATGTTGTCAGGTAAATTTTGCTTTGTTATTCGAAAGTTGTTGTTACCGCTGTGTCAGTTCAGTATTGCTTCGTGTCCCGCAACATGTTGTTAGTGCTATGACGTGTGAATTTTCTTTGTGTCACTCAAATATTGTTACTACTGTGTCAGGTCAGTACGGCTTTGTGTCTCGCAATATTTTGTTACTTCTGTGTCAGGCCAGTATTGCTTTGTGTCTCTTGACACATTATTATCGCCATGTCAGATCAGTATCGCTTTGTTTCTTAATATTTCGGCAATTTTTTTAAAACAAGACTTCGGGTAAATTTAGAACGACCTTGCGTCAGAAGTTGCAATGTACCTTGCTATATAAATTTGGTCAGGAACGTGTGTTATGCACAGCCATTCGGTGGCACAATTTCAATTTAAATGTTTCCTTTTTTCGCATGATTGGGCGATTTTCTTGATTATTTTTAAATTCATATACGGTTGGTCAAAACATTTTGAAATATGTTAATTATTCAGTCTACAAATAATATCAATTGTATTATACATGTGTTCGAAAATAATATTAAGGAAGACTTTATCTATTTGAAAGGAATTTTTATCAAAATAAAATGTACAACGCAGAATAATTCGATATTGACGTAAACATATTAAGTACATCTTAATAACAACATGAAGTTACACAACTTATTTAGTATTGATTATGCTCGTTTAATCTATAAATGTATTGATATACAGACTTAAAAGGATGTGGTTTGCAATAAAATAAATAGTTGCATGTATGTAGTTATATAAGACGAATTGATTATTATACAGTTATCTTCGTTTGTAATCTGAGTATAAATGTTAACAAATAAACGTATCGCGATGTTAGAAATAATAACGCATGTTCCATATTAATTCCAAATTTCCCACCGTGGTCAATAATAAACTTTACAGATTCGGATTCAAGTTTTATCGGTGAATCAAAGTACCAAGGCAATTATTTATAACATCACAAACACTCTAAACAATAAAGAATATATAATAATTGTAAAGATCGTAAAAACACTAATTAAATATACGTATAACGATATGTGAATATAGCGTTTCACTCAATATAAATACCAGAGCGGACGGCCAAATATTATCAATTGAAAACATTAGATTAGTGACTATCATCTCTTAGTCGAAGTATATTCCCAGCCCCATTAATTGTGAGAGGTAAGAACTGTTGTTAATGATGCATTGAATGAATTTTTATTTAAAGTAACGGTAAAACATAGTACCACAAAAGCATATAACACTACGAGCAACAATGGCTGAATTAAAAGAAAGGCAAAAAATACCAAAGAGATATTTAAACTCTAACAAAATCGAATTTGAACTGGCAATGCCTTTACAAAAAATGAAAAACGATCAAATGACACTTGGTATACAAAACACAATATAGAAAACTAGAGATTGAATTAAAAGATAGTGCAATTTTAAACAATTTTATATTTCGATTGTGAAAAAATGTATTTCTCTGTAGCCAAACAAGATTAAAGGTTTGATATTTTATTTGGTGTTTTTATGAAATTGTAAAAAAAGATACATTCCAAGGAAACGAAATATCTCCAAGGGAACAGACTTTATAGATACACAGTTCTCTATTTTGAGCAAGTTATTACTTATTCTTTATACTGTAGATTCATTTATATTAGTGGGTTCCGATTTTCGTGCATTCAGTAATATTTGCAATTTTGCGAATAATAGGATTCATGGTTTTCACAAATTCTACATACAAGGTTATCGGAAAATTATATTTCGTTTAAATCTTTACCTAGAAATTCCACAGAACTGGGTACAATAGGAATATTAATGAATTGAATCCTTGATTAATTCCGGTTTTGTATTGAAACCAACTTTAGACATGCTTAAACTAAGTCATATAGTGGGCTTTTGAATGGATACATGAGGTGAACATGCAAATGAGTCCTGAGATTTCTTGCAGAAATGGTATTTGAATTGTATTTGTTCTATTATCAAATTTGTAAGTTAATCATAAGTTTGACTATTTTATTACAGAAACAACAAAGAACGATGCTAACTGTCTTTGTTGTGGCACTTTGTAGTTCAGTTGTGGTCTGTGTACCTCGGAATGGTTCGGAACAGTCCAAAATGGGTATGATATATTGATTCCTTCAATTTTGATTAATTTTTGTTTTTATAGGCAGTTGGTTTAAAACAATCACATTTTTCTTTTTTTTTTTTTCTAAAGTACGATTAAAATGTGTTTAAGTTTATAAATACATTTTGCTCGTTAATAATTACTTGTAGCTATTATATGTACACGCATGGAATTCCAATTTAACAAGGTGCATGCTCCACATCAAATGTATTAATAACAAAAGCTAAAAAACACAAAGCGGATAGAAAAAATCTAAAGGACATTTGTAAATTGCATGAATAATTTCGAATTTATATTTTTTTGTAAAGTGACCATTTCTGAAGTATCTATCATTGTCAGTATTTGAGTATAACACCTGTAAAAACTTTGATACACAAACCCTTAACGTATTTATAGATTTAAAACGGGAATACATTTTCCAAACTTATCTTGAACATAACACATTCTTTTATTACGTTCTTAAGCAATAGACAGGTGATAATGTAAAAATAAGGAGAAGTGGTACATGTATGATTATCAATATTGATCAAAGGAAAAAGAAGTAAACAAAAACAAGTCACCGTGCGGTCTTCAAAGAATGTACAACGCTATTGCAATTTGAACACCCTAGTGTAAAAAGTTCATATATGAAGAAATTTGGATAAAAAAAAATCCCGAAATTAACAAATTGACAACCAATGGTAATGTTATGCACACGTGTTGCTCAAAATGAATATGAGCAACAACATCACACAAAAAGACATTGTCTATATAAACACATTTTGTAGCAAATTATCTTAGGTGGTAAAGCTGTTGCTGGAATCTTAATATTAATGCAAAGATCTCAAAAGTTATTGTGTCAGTTTTTATGCAGTTAAGCACTAAATTTAAAACGCTTGAAACCGCATGCAAATATGTGAGGCAAAACAAGTATAAATACTGTTAATGAACAGACTCTATAATGTCGTATTTTCATCTGAAATGGTATTTGGTAGAATTATACGATTTTTTTTTCACGGGGCCAAAACAAATGGCCTAATTATAACTTTTTCTTTATCATGTTTATTCATTCCTTTAATTTAGGCGCAGAAAAGTCCACAAAATTGCTTTATTTATGTTGTTGTGTCAAACTTTTTTTCAATACCAATTTGATAAAATACTGTTGTAGTTTAGAGGATATGACTAAAAGATGAGATGCTTATATATAAATTTTTAGACATATATCATGTATATAGTATAATAAGATAATAATATTTTAACCAGCTCGCATCGTTGGAGGTTCAAATCATGGTCGACTTGAAATTTATCATAATAGACTATGGGGAACGGTTTGCGATGATAGTTTTGATTTACAAGATGCACACGCAGCATGTAGAATGATTGGATTCAGGTATTTATTGACTATCATTTCATTCATATACATATATAAAGGTGTAGTATGAATGACATAGAAGTAACTATCCTACAGACACCACATGACAAGGAAGTCAATATATTTTAAATATCTTAAGTCATTAGAAAACACAGAAAACACATACCCTATAGTAGGGTGCAATCAATTCAAAGGATAAACCAGCTGTTTGGTTTAAGTATAAAACCTTTCAACAAATTGAATGTTCAATAATGTCTAGTACCAAATATTGAACGTATTTTCATAGAAAATCAAATCTATTATTGTGTCGTGAAAATAATTTTAATTTTCTTTTCCTATGATAGTTTGATTTGTTCTTTTGCCTTTTCATATATCTGGATATCTATTGGACACTTATGATCATTAATAATTATGATTGTACTCTAACAGTATAACAAAGGATCAATATTTGCATAAAATTATTCAGTATCTTTCAACTTTTTGGCTGTGAACCATCCTGATTTTAGGAAATTCTGAAATGTCCTACGCATGCATACAATTTTGAAAGTGTTATTTTTATTTTCTGTTTTGTAAATTTTGTCATATGAGGATCAAAATATCGGTGCAGCGTCCTAAATATGTACCGATTATCAGGTGTTCTGCATATTGATATTGTAATTACCAGCTGCGAGTCAAATATGAATCTTTTTGTCGAGTGAACGCAGCGAACAAGTTAAAAAAGACTTCATATTGTGTCGAGCAGTTGATATTTAACAATATAAATATGCAGGCAACAGGATAATCGATTTATCGGGTTGTAATTGCGTTTTTTGCATAATAAAAATAAGTGTTTTCTTTGTTTTACCAGCAAACCGGAAGAAGACTTGATACGTTTAGGTCAACCTTATCAACGTCGGTTCGTACATTATGACGTCGCTGATATGTCCGGGTCAAAATTGTTAAGGCCGGGTCAACATATTTGACGTCACAGAGCCGTTATATGCAATTTTTTTAAGAGCTGAGCAGAGTGATACAGACGATGGGACGACCGATAATAACCATTCAAGGAGTAGGTGCGATGTTGCATCAATTTTGTCCGTTTGTTCGTCCTCCTCGTCTGGTCACTTGTTTTTTTCTTTCGTCTTTTAGTTTAACCAATATTTCCGTCACAATACTTACCGGTTCTACTGATCAGAGTATACGTAGTATATATCTCCCGGGCTTGTATTTCCTATCATGATGTTCTTGGTAGAGGGTTGCTGCTCACAAGGAAGCTATTAAACCAAGAGTTCCAAATGGTGAAGTTGAAATCATCCCTTCGTAATTTGACGGACGCCATCACGAGTTGGTTGACCGGTATGGAATATCCGTTTCACAGATGAAAGCGGATATGTTCCTAATATCGTAACTACAATCCCGTCCCCTTTTCACGAATCTGATCTACCGAATTAGACTTGTTACCGGGTTTGTAATAACATGAACAACACGACGGATGCCACATGTGTAGCAGGATCGGCTTATACTTCCGGAGCACCTGAGATAACCCCTAGTTTTTGGTGAGGTTCGTGTTGCTTAGTCTTTTTTCTATGGTGTGTTTTGTGTACTATTGTTTGTCTGTTGTTTTTTTTTTTCTTTTTTAGCCATGGCGTTGTCAGTTTATTTTCGATTTTTGAGTTTGCATGTCCCTCATGTATCTTTCGCCACTCTTATACAAAACTAGATATAACATAGAATACAAAATACTAAACACGATTCACACCCAAGACACAAGTGCTGCAGAAGAGTAAGTAGTTTCTGCCCTCATGTGGCATTTGTCGTGTTGCTTAGTCGAGAAAGAGGAGGATAGGATTGTGATTTAGATAAGTGGAACATATCCGTAGTCGAACATGTCATACGTGACACAAATATTCCATTAATCAAAATTTTAAATTGCAAAAACTGCACTTCTTATATAAATCAGGCTTAATTCAGAATAGATGTAATAGTACATACTTTAAAATATATTTTGTCAAACGCCTTCAACCTTACAATATTTGTTTTAGTTCTGCAGAAAGTTTTTATACAGCTGGATACGGTATTGGTCAAATATGGCTTGATGATATGGCTTGCTATGGACATGAACACTCATTGACAGACTGTGGGAGTTAATTGTGTGGAAGGTAGCATATACACCTTTGAACTTATGAGGAAAAACTGTATTGTATATTTTAAGTCTTGTTTCCATCTTATTTGTCTATTAAAGCATGACGGCATTTATAATCAAGTTTGTCATAATTGACTATAAAGCGGATTCATTCCACTTCCCTTCATTCCAGCGCAACACAATTCCAAGGGATTATTCAATTTATGTTGAATTCTTGTTTTTTTAATACCAATTCATGTAGATGATGTTTTTTTTATTTATTTGATATGACTATGAGGAAGAAGTAATAAATAAACTATCCAAAATAGAATATAAATGTTTTTCTGATGTATCATATTTTAATATTTTGAATCTAATTTCAAAAACAGCTCGCATTGTTGGAGGTTCAAACAGTGGTCGACTTGAAATTTATTATAATGGACTATGGGGAACGGTTTGTAATGACAGTTTTGACTTAAATGATGCACATGTAGCATGCAGGATGATCGGATTCAGGTATGTAATGATTCATTATGCGTTGAATACCCAATGGTGGCTTTGGGATGTTTTCTGCTCTCTGGTCAGGTTTTTGTCTCACATTCTCTGTTTCGATTCTTTACATTTTTTTTACCTATTCTGTTACTTAATGTGTACATCGGACTTCTTTTAAATAGTGAGTTGTACTGTGCGCATTGCTACGTGTTAGTTTTTTCCTCTTAGGCTAAAGGCATAGAAGTGGTTTTGAGATCTCACAATACATGTTGAACCCCCCGCATTTTAGCCTGTCCAAAGCCAGGAACATCTAGCCTTTGTTAGTCTTTTGTCTTTTTGAAGTTTGGTTCAATTGTCTGTTCGGAATTTAGTGTGCACTTCATTTCACTGTACTAGTATAATACTGTTTGTGGGCAAGCTGATGCCTGCCTCCGGGTGCAAGATTTTTTTCTCTGCGTTAAAACCCCATTGGCGCTCATTGGCTGTTTTCTGCTCTTAAGTAAGGTTGTTGCCCCTTTGACACATTCTTACTGTTTCCATTCTTTATTCTATTCTATATTGAAATAAGAAGATATGATATGGTTGTCATTGAGGCTAATATTAAGCAAATACCACAGAACAAGTATATAATTAATACAAATAATTGCAAGGCTTTTTATATCGCGGAATAGCCGATCCTTATAATACGCTGTAAATAACGTCGTTTGAATAAATGGGAATCACTTTAAAGGAAACAAACAAGGGTCGGATTTACGCTTATACTAATACCCGAACAAAAATAATGTCCAGTGCGAAATATGGAAGGCATATTCATAGGTCGGGAAATTTGCAATGTTGTCATAAACATTGCTTTAAATTTGTTTTTTAAAAGGTATAATATTAAACTTTTCACATTTTGGATTTTTATTTGTCAATTTTTAATCGACAATAAAGCAATGTCATATTTTGAAACTAATAGGAAGATCTCAAAACATAAGTACTTGCTTTTAAATAGTATTATCTTAAATAAACGAATTTAATACTTAAATATGCAATCAAAACAATTTGCATATATTTATATATATATATATATATATTTTCAATTTAGACTAATTTGTATTTTTTCGTTTGGTCTTGTATTATATTTGCCTTCGGGTTTATATGATCCGTTCATCCTATTTCGAATCTTCAAAATTCAAGAGTCTATCCTAAATTGAGGTAAATTATATGGCCTTCCAAATACCGTTTCGATTCCTAACATCACTGAAGAGACATTAATTGTCGAAATCCGGATATGGTGTACAAATTTTTGCACCTCATGTTTGTGGTATACAATCTTTTCCGCAAGTTTATTGTTTTCTGTTTGGTATTGAATTAATAATAAAGATCCATTTTGTTACATCTGGTGATCCGTTTATTTGGCTATCGCCAATGGCAGTCAGCAAGGTTTAAGAACATCCGTTGTTCGACCTGTTAGTCAAATGCGTTTTGTTAAAATATACTTTTTCACTTTTTTTGGTCTTTTGGAAAATGTTGTTTGTGCTGTAATTAGACCCCTCTACCAAGAAATTTGTTTTGCATGCACACGTATAAAAATTGAGGTTTTTATCTAACGCAATCATAGGTTTGAACGTTGTTTTCAATTTAGACTTATTTATATATATATTCATATGTATACGTCTGAACCAGTGACAACTCTACGACAGATTTTATCCATCTGATCACAGGTGATGCGCGCCGGGCATAGTGCAAGGCGATTTGGTGCCACGATATCTCAGTAGCATGAGTTCGAATCCCGGCCAGGAAAGAACAAAAAGTTGCTTCCGCAAATTTACAGATCTAACATTGTTGGGCTGTTGTTTAGACGAATTATATATACAGAATGTATTTTCAGCCATGTATCACCATCACTGCTGGTGATCCGATGGATAAAATATGTTGAAGAGTCGTCACTGGTTCAGACGTACTTATTAAAAAATGAAAACAAATATATATATATATATATATATATATATAAACAAGCCTAAATTGAAAACATATATATATATATATATATATATATATATATATATCAAAACTGATATCATACAGTTAAAGATCTTATGAGCAGTTGATGGATATCACTTGATAGCTTTATAAGCATATCTCCGTACTGAGTTCGAGGGTTTGAATTTTAGTAGTTAACATTCAAAAGTGTTGGTTAATGGGTTTTCTAATTCATATTGTCATAATGTTCAAATGTTCAAATCTATCATTTATAAATCATTAAGAGACTAAGGTTTCAATTTCAACAGGCAAGTTGAACTTTGATGGATTTGGCTATTATTTTATGTCATCGGTCATATAGCTTTTCAAAATTTTCGATTCTCTACATGCTTTGCTTTCAAATAATTGGCTTTGAGCGTTCCTGATGGAAGTAAATTTAGAAATAACTTTGGACACATGGATTTTATTAAGTGTTGCTTTCACTTGTAGATGAAATTCAGTTTATAAATATGCCTTTCGTTAGATATTAGCTATGTAGACAACAGTACGATGTAGGTAAGGGACAATTATTAATAAGTGGCTTATTATACTTTCTTCTGTAATGTTAGATATATCACTAACAAATAGATAAATTTGGAAAAGCTAATTGATTTAAATTTGTCGTTTTGGAGCCTTTTATGACTTGTAGTTTGGATTGGGTAATGTTCATGGATGACGACCGTAAGTTGACCAGTAGATGAAGAGTTGACAATCATACAGAATCATCTTTTTTAACATTATAAGAATTTTCAAACAATCCAGTTTGACATATTGCAACAGCGGAAATATCATGTTGGTGTCGACACTGCTATATGTATATTAGATATAAATATTTCAATGCCTTCAACCATAAAATATTTGTTTTAGTTCAGCAGAAAGTTACTATACAGCTGGAGATGGAAGTGGTCAAATATGGCTTGATGATATGGCCTGCTATGGACATGAACTCTCATTGACAGAATGTGCGCATAAGTCATGGGGGCAACATAATTGTGGTCATGGAGAAGACGTAGGAGTTTATTGTGTTGAAGGTACCTTTGCCCTATTACTATTGAATACAAAAATGAGTACTGACTTCTAAATACCTAGATGTTTCATATCGATGTTTTCGTAGAAATTTAATTCTGAAGCACGACATAATTGGTTGTCGATTTTTATTATAAGTGTAGAAAACATTTTGTCGATTGGTAATTACATAAATTGAAGGTATTTTAATCAAGTTCTTTTCATTCAATTTCATGTTTAGCAAACATTCAAAGAATTGTCCACAAATGTGGTGTCAAACGACTATTTTCTCAACACCAATTGATCTTAAACCTGTAGTTATTTATATAAAAATATTTATTACCAAGCAGAATTAACTGGACTATCTAAAATAAATGAAACTACTCTTTTATTTTGAATTCAACATTTTAACAGCTCGCTTTGTTGGAGAATCCAATAATGGTCGACTTGAAATTTATCATAATGGACTATGGGGGACGGTTTGCGATGACACGTTTGATATAAATGATGCACATGTAGCGTGCAGGATGATTGGTTTCAGGTATTTAGTATTTCACTTTCATTTCCTTCATATGATATTGTATAATAGCCAATGAGTCAAATATCCACTAAACAACACTGAAGATAGAATGTTATAAATACATACTGTCAGGTCTTTGTGCGGCTTTCAAATTACATAAACAAAAACTACCACATATAAAGCGCCGAGTCCTTGACTGGGCTTGGCTTTACTTTTGGTGATTAAGATTTAATATATGCTTTTTTGATATTCAAATATTACGGCTTCGGTCAATATTGCGAACTCATTAGTTGTCGAAATGCGCATCCGGTTCAACAACATTTATACCATAAATGTACAATAAATGGTACTAATGCTGGGTCGATACTGCTGCTGGTAGATTGTTAGTCTACCATTGTTTTCAGATATAGTAAACATATTATCAAGTGTAAATTTAGTACGATTGTTAGTTCATTGATTGCTGTATCACCAGCTTAGGTGCTGGAATTTTTGTATTGGCATGGTCGTTCGGATATTGTTGTATTGTAAATTTGCTTTAAACAAATTTCACAATACCCATTTAGCCTTAATGAGGAAGTATTATTTGTCTAATTTTGAATTCGAAAAAGTTACTTTGAAATTGTTTTTCAGTTCTGCAGAAAGCTTTTATACAGCTGGAGGTGGAAGTGGACACATTTTGCTTGATGATATGGAGTGCTATGGACATGAGTATTCTTTAACGACCTGTACTCATGCAGCATGGGGGCAACATAATTGTGATCATGAAGAAGACGTCGGAGTTTATTGTGTGGAAGGTACTTTTTCACTATACCTATTGACCTCATGAAAGTCTACAGTGTTCTATGTTTGTGAATTATTTTCATCAAATTAACTTTGGTTTAGCATGATAGCATTTGGTCAAATAAGTTTGTCAGATAAATTGATGAAATCGAATACAATTTTTTTAAACAAAGTTCTATCGTGCGCAGCAAGAGTCGTATGAAATGCTTATTATTCATGTTATTTATTGTTTTCAAACTCCTTTATCTCAATTCATTGTTATGAAACATGGATATAAGCTCGGAAAAAATCATTGGACTAGCTAAAAATTAAATGGTAATGTTCTTTCAAGGCATCTGAAATATATTTTTTTTATATATTCTTTTCAAAAGGTCGTCATTTTTTAGGTTTATACTATTTTTAATTTTCAAAAACAGCTCGCATCGTTGGAGGTTCTCATAATGGTAGACTTGAAATTTATTACAATGGACAATGGGGGACGGTTTGCGATGACCATTTTGATTTAAATGATGCACATGTAGCATGTAGGATGATTGGATTCAGGTATGTATTCAATGACTATCATTTCCTAATTATATATATGTAGGGAGATAATAATAGATTTCATAACTAGTGAGAATTAGATATCGTTTCAAATCAACTTGGGTTATTTAATTTCAATATAATAGTGAACCAGCCTTTAAAATTCGATTATTATTATATTGAAATTATGTCATGATAGTTGACATCAAGCGATATCCAATTCTTACGAGTTGTGAAACCTATTTCTCTTATGGTCAACACTATAAATGTGTTAAATTGAAAATTCCGCGAATCGTTGATCTAATCTTTATCAAATAAAAGTATGACGTCATGTGTCCTGTTCAGGCGTCAAACTTTCACATCAGACATTTCAAAAAATTTTGTATGCTTCAGAATGTAAACAAATTTCAGAAAAGGAAAATTTTCTGGCTAAAAGTGTGAGTGTTTTGTATATATTTGAAGAAATCACACATTTCCGTTGCCATGGACTAAACGTATATCGTCTTAACCTTTCAAAGTCATCAATGACTTAATTATTAAAACATAAAGCTTAAATTTTGATTCTAACTATAACAAGATGACGCCATCACCAGTTGTTTGACTGTTATGGAATATCTGTTTCACAGATGACGACGGATATGTTCCAATTGTCGAAATTACATTCCCGTTCCCTTTTTTTCTGAATGTGACACACCGAATAAATCTTATCAACCGGTTTTGTATTTACGTAAGCAACATGACGGGTGCAAATGTGGAGCAGGATCTGCTCACTCTTCCGGAGCACATGAGATCAACCCCAGTTTTGCGTTGAGTTCGTGTTGTTCAGTCTTTAGTTTTCTTTGTTGTGTTTTCTATACGGTTGTTTGTCTGTTGGTCTTTTTTTTTCTTTTTTAAACATGGCGTTGTCAGTTTAGTTTCAACATATAAGTTTGAATGTCCCTTTGGTATCTTTCGCCTCTCTTTTTCAACATTTGAAGCGAGGACGGCTTTTAATAGATTTAAAAGAATATACATTTGTAACTGTATGCATTTAATTTATTTCAATATTAGCATGATTAGTATCTTGAAATTCATAGAAAAATTGAAAATCCAAAATGCATCCCATCATCATTCACCAAATAGCAGATCATGTAGATTTTTTCTCTTGTATTAACATAAGAATTAACGATCTTTATACTGGATACTCAAACTACAAGATTTTTATTTTCGTAAACAAACATGTTGATACGATTCAATTTGTTTGGCCTTTTTTTTTTCTCCGTTCATGTAAGATAGTTTCTGAACATAAATAGATTACTAAAACAAGGCATATTGTTTTGAAACCAAACAGATCGATATTATGCATCAGTTGAAATGTCATTAAGATGTCTACAATGTGTGGTCTGATAATAAATATTTTTGATTTTGACTAAAATAAAAATAGAGTTGCAAATACTTGCGTATTTTTCAACCTTTGACGACGAATTGAATTTCAAATGTGCTACTATACATATTTGACTACAATATGAACTTTGATTAAACCTAAAAGGACAGTCATCACAGGTGGTACTAAAACCTATATTTTTATAAAGCCAAGTTGAGTTATGGAATAAGAGATTAGATACAGTGTTCCAGTAGTGTTGCTTGTCGTGATGTAACAGGTTGATATTCTATTACTGCAGAAGCAATAACTAAAATATGCAAAAACTGCACTTGTACTGACAAGCTTATATTTATTTTTTATTATTTATGTATTTTTCTGTGCTGAGTGTTCTTACCTTTGTTTGTACTGTATTCCTGTCACGTAGTGTTGTCATTTTAGCGGGAAGTTTGGCTAGCCATACAACCAGGTTCAACCCACCATTTTTTCTTAAAATGTCCTGTACCAAGTCAGGAATATGGCAGTTGGTATCAGACAGTCCGTGTATGTTGGCGTTTGCTTTTGTTGTAGTTCTTTGTTTCTGCTGTTCCGTTGTTTTACTCTTATATTTGATGCGTTTCCTATTATTACAACACATGTCATTAACCTCAATCATATGTCTATCATTTTTTTATATTGTTCATTCATGTAAGGGTGTTTTGTCCTTTTTGATATGTACAGTTAATAACCAGATGAAAAGTGGTTGTAGTCAACACATATTATTCAGTATTCTCACCTGATGAATTATAATTGTGAGTTTCCTCACATAAGGCAATAGGAAAGTACTTTCATATTAGTTGAAACTTAATATGCAAATGGATGGCCAGGATAGATTTTAAAATAAAATCCTTGATATTTCGAGGTTCATTTGCCGCGATTTTTCCTTTTTCATTATTGTGTTCACTCCGTCTGTTTATTAGGTTTTTAATTTTTTATTTCAAAATGCTTCTTTAGTTTTTCGGTAAATTTCTGTGCCAAATACTCCTTCTAACATGTCTAATGCAGTGATTTTAGTTTTAGATTTTCAACCGAATGGTTATGTTCTATAAAGCAGTTTGCTACTGGATCGTCTGATTTGTTTGTAGTTATTTTTGAAAAATTTGATAACATCCTTTGATACAGTATATTTCCTGTTTGTGAATATATATATTGTACAATTTATTCAATATACGTTTACCGAAATTGTTTTTATAGTTCAGCAGAAAGATTTTACACGATTGGAGATGGGGATGGTCAAATATGGCTTGATGATATGGGTTGCAATGGACATGAGTACTCGTTGACGGACTGTACTCATACATTATGGGCAGATCATAACTGTTATCATGGAGAAGACGTCGGGGTTTATTGTGTTAAAGGTACCACTGCACGATTACTGTTGAAATGCCATTGTAGAGTAATTTCCAAATGCGAGGAATAATATATTTACTGTTTCCGGCTTTTTTCAAATTATTTTCTTTTTAAATTGATAATGATTCTAAGGATATATAATTGCTCATTGTCAGTGATATCTATATAAAAAGCCTAAATGTGATAGAGTATCAACAGGTTAACCTTATGATATTTTGATCGAAATTTATTTTATCAACCGCAACAAAGGGATCCATGGTTTTGTTCAGTAAGATGTAAATGAGGATCTCCACTCATCAACACCATGCATGAGTTTAATAATCACACAATAATGAGATTAATTCATTTAAATCCATGCTAGCAACTTCATTATTGAACAGATCATCTTAAATGTGTATCGTATGTCTAATTGCTTCAACTTATCAAAACATTTGTAATGATGAGTTCAATATTAAAATCCTCAATGAAGGACACAATTTGAATAGAGGTTTCCATTCATCAAAATCACTCATTAAAACCTTTAATGATTTTGATAATCAGAAAAATCGACCCTTCTTTGTGTATTCGAAAACGTATAATTGTCTTCATATTTATGTTGTTTAGCAAAAGGAAAATCATCTGAAATAATATGCGCATATATTACAAATTGTGTAGCATTCTACTTTTTTCATTGGTTATTACGATCACGTGTTTCAAATGTTATTTTATGTATCTGAAGCCTTGTTTCTTTTTTTTTAAGGATATTGACGCTGTTTCTATTTATATGTATATTGACGGTCAATATTAAAATTCTTGCTAAACTTAGATCCGGATATAAGCCGTTTCGGTCCGAAATTACTCTACGTCATGACGTCACACATAACAATTACGGGAGAAGCACCGCAGCAGTCGAAAATTGTATAATTTGAATTCTTATTTGTTGTTAACAGAAAAAAAATAAAATATGTTGTGTTTTTGTTTACAATAAAACAAGTTCATCTTATTTATTGACATTTTAAATGGCATGTGAAAAATCTTGCAAAGTACAATTTAAAAATACACAGAAAGAACATGTCCCTAATACATTATTTATTACATATGTGATATAAAAATTAAGGACTTTCACTCAGTCAATACGTTGTATATGGACCGGTTAGATTATATTGACACTCGGAATTCGTCCTCGGTCAATATATTCTGAACAGGTCCATATATAACGTATTGACCTCGCCAAAAGTCCATAATTGATAAATATATATGTAGGACTAGGAGGTGCGATTGTGACGCTGAAATTAAATGTGATGGTCACGATGAAGGCCGATTGGCTGCGCCGAAGTGCGATGGTCTATATGACGCGTGATGGCTAGTTAAAAACCTGTAGATGTGTACTTATTATGAAACGTAAAGTTTGTGTATAAATTTATATTTATTATTGTCTAGGTGTATCCTTAGTGACAATGGCATATTAAAAGAAAAATCGACTGCTTAACTTTTCTGCATGTGTACTATTTTTGCGTAAACATTTACCTTAACTATATTTCTATCATGAGTTCCAGGTTTACCGTAAAATTACAATACTGAGAGTCTGTCTGCGGACCAGTATGCATAAAATGATGCCGCGTTCCATCATACCTAAAAAAATTACTTAAATAGATTTCGAGAATAAACAACCATTAAAATATATGCATAAAATATTTGCGACTAGATTTCGAACATCAGACATCCATCGTTTTTTTCTATGTTGTGATTTCGATGTCGTGTTGTATTGGGACATGGCCGTAAGATGGTGATCTGTGATGGACCATAATAAACGGCTATAGAAGGATATATTTCGAGTACCTACTTAACATTCCATAGTTTTTCCCGTTGCAGAAAAAAAAAACATCGATGGTGATTAATCTTATTCCTTGCTTTCATTAACAGCACACACATATATTTGCGTTTATGTTGTTTCGTTTTGTATTTGCTTTTCAAACAACTACCACGTTTTTCAGTCATTGCAATTAGTACTGGTTTTAATGAAAAATAACCATTGCATGCAGCGTCTATAGCGGTCGATTAATTAACGACTGTAATCTTTATCCTATTTTCATAGAGCCTTTTTTAAGAAGAAAGTTTTGTGTGACGTCCATTTTCTATGAAATAGTACACTTTTTTGTTATTGGGCCAGCTGAAGCCTGCCTCCGGGTGCGCGATTTTCTCGCTGTGTTGAAAACCCATTGGTTGCCTTGGGCTGTTTTCTGTTCTTTGGTCGGGTAGTTGTCTCTTTGACACATTCCCCGTTCCCGTTCTCAATTTTACACGATACAGTTATGACTGGAAATGCATTGACTTTTTTTTTATGACTTTTAATATTTAACGGGTTGTACTCTCGGTGATTTACTTAAAAACCCGATAAACTGCTTCTTACAAACCACTTTACTTCTATATCGACATGTGAATATGAAACACATTGAATACATAGTTTATGAAGTCCATTGCACTTCAGTATTACCACCAATACACTTCTGCGTAGTTATCAACAAGATAACGTTCCAATGCGACCATCATGCTTCGGCGTGATCAAAAACACACGTCAGCGCGGTGATCGATGGTCGGGGTACCGTCGTGGTTCATAGTCATACATATATATGCAATTAAATGTTTATCATAAACATTATTATGTACAAATTTAATAATTTGGTTTTAATGTTTATAGCTCGTCTTGTTGGTGATTTACGAAGAGGCCGACTAGAAGTGTACTACGATGGAGAATGGGGAACAGTGTGTGATGACAGTTTTGATTTAAACGATGCACAAGTAGTATGCACAATGATGGGGTTCGAGTGAGTATTTATGAAAAATACGTTGTTTTTTTTTTTTTACTAGAATCGCGGTTGTTGTTTTTTATTTTACATATAAATGCAAAATAAATGACTTGTTGTCCATTACAACGCTGCAACATATCGCAAAGAAACAGGTGGAAAGTATGATATAACTCATTAATTTATGGTTATCGCATAAAATGTAATTATAAGAATGTAATGCGTCTTCATCCAATGTTCTAGTCTGGTAAAAGCGTTGATCGTTTTCAACATGTGATGTATAAAGCGCTTTAGTCCTAAATCAAAATGAAACTATTAAAAAAGCTTCAATTCTTAAATTATGTCGATCTCAGATAAATATGTTGTATTGCATGTTAAAGTTTAGCCATGGCAAAGTCAGTTCATTTTCGACTTATAAGTTTGAATATTTAGTTGGTAAGCTTCAATCGCCCCTCTTTTTTCTTATTTTGCTGACATTAAGAAAGATACGAAGTTATCCTTGCTTCACCTTTGACGATGAGTTGATGGATATTACTTTTGACGACCAGCTGAACAATATACCCAAATGATAAGTTTTTGAATGGCATATAATATTACCATAGGTTTGGTGGGTGCATACAGAATAAAGTATTATGTCCCTCAACTATAAAGAGAAGTATTGGATAAGGATAGTCGTACCTCAATTATTGTAGTTTATTAATTAAACAGAGGATAACTCCTAATTAAAAGAGCAGATGATTGATTTACATTTATAATCTTATTAGTTAACTTATTATACACTTTGTAACATTTCATTGTATTGATGTTACATCTCATTTTCAATGCAAAATTAATCACATTTTTTAAAATCCAATTTTCCCAAATTATAATTTCTACTTAATAGTTTGGATGCCCCTTTGGTATGTTTCACTTCTTTATAAAATATTCCTACCATTGAAAAACTAGCCCATAACTGAAATGCCTAAAATGGAAGTTATGCCTAAAATATATATATACATTGCACTGACCATGAAACCTATTCGAGAAAAAAAAACCAATCTCAAAGATTTGTAATCATACAAAGGACATCCATTCCCCTATATTAGAAAACGTAGTAGGATAAACTATTAAACTGTAAAATAACTTGTTATTGGCATTTTTATAAAGGTGTTGTTTTTGTTTTAATCTAACATTAAAAGAACTTTTATCATTCTAAAGGATTATATGTTTTTCATTGTTAAATAACAATACCCTTTTCTGTAGATCAGCAGTAGCGTCTTATACGGCGGGCGATGGTGATGGACGAATATGGCTGGATGATATGGCATGCATTGGGGATGAGATTTCAATGACAGAATGTGAGCATGCTGAATGGGGTACTAACAACTGCGGTCATGTGGAAGATGTCGGCATCGAATGCAAATAGAATAAAGTGTATCGTACCACTAATAAAAGTCAGCACTTATTATAAATAGTGTGATGTGCACTCAAGCTGTGCATGTATCTGACATTAACTCAACCTTTTTTATGTTTATACTCGTTATGCTTTAATTTTTATCTTTGCAAAATCGTGTGATATAAAATCAATTGTTTATTTTAAGATAACATATGTACACCTTTTTAGCCCACCTGATCCAAAGGGCAAAGTTAGCTTTCCTCGTCAATTGACTTCCGTCGTCGTCGTTAACTTTTACAAACTTCTTCTCCTCTGAAACTTAAGGGCCAAATTTAATTAAACTTGACCAATATTATCATTGGGATATCTACTTGAAAAAACGTGTCCGATGACCCCTTTTGCCCAACAACATGCCGACATGGCTAAAAATAAAAGAGGTAAAAAAACTGTCTATTATCTTGAAACCGCTGAAAAAAAAAGTTAACGACACTTAATTGTTTGATAGTTTAATCTTTAAATGTTTTTGTTGTATATTTAATGATATATAGTAAAATATTTTTAGAACAAAATAGCGTTTTTGCAACATGTCCGAATGGAATGCTCATACCTAAGTGAATGACACAGGCTCTTTCACATATCTAGTTTTATATTATCGTTACTTAGTATATGTTTAATCACAAATTAATTAAAACATATTTGTAATTGTGTTTATTTCTATTGAACGAATAATTGTATGTGTACACAGTAGATAGTTTAATACGATATTTAGAATCTATCAAAGCCAAATAGTTGACAAATTTCTTCAGCAAAACAAATCAATTTAATCTTGTGTAGTCATACATTGTTATGGTTTGCCAAAGATTCGACAATAATATGCACCTTTGACTGGTATAAGGTAATAGCAAGTTTGTTGTCCCTGAGATAGTAAGTTTTGCTCGAGGCGAAGGGACAACACACTTGCTATTACACTCATAACTGGTCAGTAAGTGTATTATATACCGAACAAAAAAAAAATCTAAAAAGTCTAAATACCCCATTTGAAAAAAAGCAAATAGTATCATAACCATGCACAAGATGCACAAGATGAAATATCAGGTGCTTTGTTTTGCCCGTGTGGAATTTGTCAATATTTATTTACTGCAATCTAAACCAGGAATCCTGGTGTTAAAAGTCCCGTGCATGTAATAAACGCTTGCTAAAATATTTTACCGTACACCAAAGCAATCCCATACCATACATTTGTTATGTTTCAGTTCTTAAAATATGTCACATAGATTTTCTTTTATCTTTTTTATTGCTTCTACTATTGACTGGCAAATAGTCTGTGGAATGAAATAGAACAAATATTTTTATATAGAAAAAACATACTGAGGTATAATAATTCTATATGTCCCTGTCACGACATGTATTCTTCCCTTGAAAGTTTTTTCAGTTTAAAGTGACCGAATATAAAGTACAGTAACATATAAAAAGTATGTATATGCGCTTTTAACTGGTATAACTTTTGGGGAAAATTAAATCTTCGGAAAAGAGTAAACTTTCCTCAAAATTGCACCGAGTATATGTTTGATTCTAAACTCTTTTGGTTGCTCTTACTTAACCGAGTACCAGACTGTCCAACCATGGAATAGGTAACATGTCCGTATATAATCCGGAGTCACAGGTCGGTAATATGAAAAAAGTATGAACTAAAATAAACTGTAAGAAGAGACATAAACCATCATTAGCACTCCTTTCAGTCAGATAGGACAAATTATCAGTTTGTTATACAAAACTCCAATCAATATCCTTCTAGATTAAAATCATTACTGGTAAAAAGTAAAATAACAAAAGAACCGAAATCAACAGAAAATTCAAAACGGAAAGTCCTTTATCAAATGGCAAAATCAAAAGCTCAAACATATCAAACGAATGGAAAACAACTCTCATTACCCTGACTTGTACAGGCATTTGCTTATGTAGAAAATGGTGGATTAAACCTGGTTTCGTGGCTAGATAAACCTCTCACATAATTCCATTATATTGACAACACTGCGTGATCAAAACAAACAGACATAATAGTTAAAAGGTTCATCTTTAATTATGTATGAGTAGAAGGGTAGAAGGATTTCATTATGTAAGGGCCCTATTCGGTCCTTAAATTAAATGCCATCATGTGATGTGAAAAACGTAATGTTAAAGGTTAGTGCTATTTTCAGCAAATTTACTCAAACCCTTAAAAATGTTATAAGACATCTCGTCACACTATAACACTTGTTCAAACGTTTACCAAATAACTTCATCAGATGAATCTACATACACGCTTCTTACAGTTAGGGTAAATTGTACATAATATAAATGCGAGTGGTATCAAAAGCACAGATACATTAGGGATCTCAAAGTTATGCTGACTTATGGAACAAACATTATTATATTTATTTTATTATTAACTGGAAAATATCAGATTTCACAATACTGTAAACTTGGAAATCTTCATGTATTGAAATAAATTAATACTGTATAGTAGAAGAATAAAATTTCATATTTAAACAAACAACATAACAACAAATTATTTCTATTTCAAATCTATTAATTGGATGAAAGTTACCAACAAAATCGTTTATTTTTTTAAACAAAAAATCTATTGTAAATACATCGTTATCTTATTTGTCAATACATGTACATGTATGTATATAAACGAAATACATTAAATTAAATAGTTTAACATTGCATTATGGTATATCATTGTTTAACTTTCAGTTCTAATTTAATTGGCTTTTTTCTGTTCACAATCAAATTGAATGCGAAGGTGTGTATTTATCTTTTTTTTTTTATTTTAACTCGGCATCAAAGGGAGCAACATCTTTGAATGTTTATCTCTTATGGTTCTTCAAGTCTAAACATGTATTACACCAAGCGACCTATACGTACACGATAAAAAAAGTTATGGTTGGTTAAGATTAGTTTAGTTTAAACGATATTTTATTTTCAAAAGTGCACAAAATACAATTATACAATATAAATACTGGGATTCGGAAACAAGAAGAACTTATATAAATCCGTCTCCCTAATCTTGGTTAAGATTAGTTCCCTGTCCGTCCTTTATCTGTTTGGCTCTGACTGAACAAGGGTGTCTCAAATACCCATATGCTGCAAGGGAGAAAACCAGTCTAATATTGGTTAAACATTATTGACACAACATTACCAAAAGTAAAACTAGAAACAATTAAAATAAAAAACATCTAATTATATAACATAATAAGTTATCACAATTGAGACCTTTGTTTATACCAATTGTAAACCTCCAAATCCTCAAGCGTCTATCCCAGTCTGTATAGACACTCAAAGGTCTGTGAACTGCAATAATGACCATGTTATAGCGTACTTATCTTGGTTGCAGAAGGTCCTTAGTTCGTACCCGGCCGGGTCAAACCAAAGATTTGAAAATTGGTATTTGCTGCTCCTACGCTAAACATTTCGAAGTAAGAGCAAAGACTGACCGGCAAGAGTCAACGTGATCTTCATCATCGTCATCAAAACAACAACAAACATAATTAAAGATGACCATTGGTGATGCACATGACTTTGGAGAGTTAATGAAGATATATTGACCTGCAAGAAACACTCAGTCTCCTTTCTTTGTATTTCGAGCAATATAATAACAACAGGAGCTGCTCTATAAAACAAGTGGTTCAAGCAATGGCAGTGGTTGAACTTTGATTAAGTTTCAAACACCGACAACAGTTAATATAACTGACGTTATGTTTTACTGTGTGGTCATCAGATTTTATTTTACCTGCATAACGAAATACATGTCGTCCGATTATTAAAGATGTGAGAGTACATTGTAGTAATGAAAATAAATATTGTGAAAACAATATTCCGAAACATATTTACAAGATATTGCCGCTGTTATGATTTGACTGTTGAACGCTACAATTTTTAAACTTTTTTTCCCAATATTATTATTCAGGATTCAGTTCCCGACTAACAGACATATACGAATAGGAAGATATCCATGCAAGTATGGCCTTGAGCCTTTTTCTGCTTTTTAGTCGGGTTGTTGTCTCTTTGACACATTCCCCGTTTCCATTCTCAATTTTACTATGTTTTATATCCATGCAAGTATGGCCTTGAGCCTTTTTCTGCTTTTTAGTCGGGTTGTTGTCTCTTTGACACATTCCCCGTTTCCATTCTCAATTTTACTATGTTTTGTCACACAAAATTGTTTGTATCACTCCCATTTTTCACGAGATTTTATATTTCTCAAGCTTATGGTTACTGTGTCATCTGCTACCAATATGTCAAGAATACAATGTTTCAGACTTAGTGAAATACAGCTTGGTCCGCTGATACTAGTATGCTATATTTTTTGTACACTTTTATCTATTTTTCTATTTTAGCAATTCATTTTTCTCTTTTTTTTATTTTATAGAAATAAGAAGATGTAGTATGAGTGCCAATGAGACAACTCTCCGTCCAAGTCACAATGTGTAAAAGGTAAACAAAGTACGGCCTTCAACACGGAGCCTTGGCTCTCATCGAACATTGAGCTATAAATGGCCTATTTTCACTGTTCTTTGTTTTTTGTCCTTTATGCTCTATTCTGAAAACCCCAACCGGAGCCTCATGTAAGCTGATCTGGATTCTAACGTCAGTATGTACATCCATGATCAAATAACATTAAACTTTTATTATTTTGATCTACAAATAACAGATGACCGTTTGGTAGTATCTGACATCCTGTTATAAATAATCCACTTTGTGCTCTCGGAATACCAATTGTTTGCATTAATGTTGGTGTTATTGGTTCCGATGCAGACAAAATTGCTCTTTGCACCTGGACTTGTCCGTGGAGAGATTGCACAGATTATAATTAAAGGAGGAGACAAAGAGACGCACGGCATCTCACGGAATTCAATTGGGTTACAAAAGATTGTTATAGAGAAAAAATGTCCACATTTATCATATCTAAATCAATTTCTTTTATTTCAACCTCACATTTTTTTAAACTGTTTATCATCAGTTGTCATTTTGTTGATTTCTTGAAGCCCGCAATAAATTTCTAGATCAGTAGCATATTGTGACATCACAGAATCTTGTAATTGGTTAATATGCTTTTTCTTTGATCTGATGCATTCGCCAGTAATGAGACTAAGAAGTGTTCATTTCTCAAGATTGTTTTTTTTTAAATCTAATACTATTTTGTCTAAATGATGATTTAAGGATGTTCGCAATTGTTGAATTTTGTCAACATATTTCTTTTCTACCAGATGAATTGGATCTGAAGTAAGAGATAAATAGTACAAATATTCTTCAATTTTTGCAAATCATGTTTCACATGAAACATAAAAGCGCAGGATTGTAAGTCGTTGCTCAAGATATCCTTAAGTTCTTTGAATTCACGACATTCTTTGTGTTGTTCATTAGCACACACTCAACTACATGGACCACAATGAAAAGAGCAGGCCAATTCGAAGTTTTTGACGTGTTGTTTCTATCGGTTACATGTTTCAACGATAAAAGACCGAAATTACTTTGTAGCGTTTTGTTAGTTTGAATGCTTTATGATGTTGTTCACAAACTGAGCAAGGGAATAGTCCACGTTCTGTGTAGACCATGTGACAGCTTCATTTATGATGTGATCCTCTTGGCGATAAGAACAAAGTTTTAAGGAAGCCATACTTGTGTTCTGCAAAATGAATAAAATTAGGAATGTGTCCATGGG